CCTTCTTTTTAAATTTTTTTTTTTTTTTTTTTTTTGGTAAAGTAGTGCCCAGAACTGAATGTAGCATTTCAGATGTGCTCATGTTATAGCCATTTAGAAAGGAACAAGGAAAAATGTCTTGTGACATGTTGCCTCTGTGTGAAACCCACCTCCCAAAAATTACTACCTTGCAATTAAATCACGTTGCAGGTCCATGTCTGACTTGCTGCTTACTATTGTATCTTGATTGCTGCCAACAGCATTTTACAAGTGTCTGTCTCATTTCCTATGTGTTTGCACAGTTTTTCTTATATCCGTTAACTTGTTGTTTCCAAGCTAAATCCCATTTTATTTTTTGCCCATAGTCTTAATGTTTACTTCCCGTAACACTTTTTGTCCTCATTAGTGTTCTCCATTCCTTGCAATTTAATATTATTAGCGCATATAGCCTTCATTATCTCTTCTGCATTAGTGTAACCCTTTAAAATGAATTACAGTGGAAATGTAAGGGGAAGTTTCTCCTCCTCCCCCACCTTCCACCTGTGCCTGGTGGTCTTCATCTCTGAACCTTGCTGTGGCTATCACTTTTTATGATTGAAAGGAATTATATGGAATGTTTTGAGACCTGTCGCTCTGCACTTCTATTAATCAAATTAGTTATTGAGAGACTTGGTTTTTCCTTTTTCTTCCCGCAGCGCTCTCCATTCTTTTTCTTCCTCCTCTTCAACTGTTTGTTATACTGACACCGTTGTAGTGGTAACTTGAGACTGAAAACATGAAATAAGTATATGCAGATGAAGTGGAGCTTGTGAACATGGGTGTGATCTACACTGATATGTTCTCCTCTTCCTTGAAGCACTTATATTTTGCTATAGGATGGAATATGATTGAATGTGGTGGGTTATAAATGGAGGTAGGGACAGACTGCAAAAAGTTTGAAGTTAATGTGGAGGCGTAATGGAAGTCCCTCAGAGTTAAAAAGCTAGCCTGATCTCTTGCTCCCAATAACAACAGTACTTATCACTGAGAAGGCAGCATACTTGGCCTTGGGAAAGGCTGTGTGTTTTACTATTCCAAAATAACTAATGGGTGCCAAATAAAAGAAAAGTATCAGCAGAGTACTGCGGGTACTGTATCTCAAGCTCCTTCCAGTAGATGGGCAAAGGACTTCAGAGACTGGCCACATTAAATGAGTGAGTCAAATTTAATAAGTTTTTTTTGGAAGGAAAAGGGGAAAAAATATAATGAAGGTGTTGCAGTGTTGAAAGAGGAGTGAGCAGCTTAATTTTAAGGGGTAAATGTGAAGATACTAACAAAATTTCAAACTCATGTTTTCTGTCCCCTCTTTTCAGTTAAGCATGTGTAGATTCCCCTACATTCAGAATAGATAAGAAGTTTACTGCCTGCCATTATTACTACAATGTACTAACTGATGTAACAAATCATTGGTAAAAATGCTGTCCCTCTCTACATATCAAAAACAAGAGACCTGTGTTTGTAGTCTGTTTTTACCTAATCAGTTTTATACCTTCAGAATAATATATTTACTTTGTGATATGGTTAGAAAGAAACACGGAGGAAAAATTTCTTGTGACATGTTGCCTCTGTGTGAAACCCACCTTCCTGCATCTATACATTGCATTTAGTAGCAGCTAAAGTAGTTTAGCTAGTACCTGTAATGAGTGTGACATCAGAGGATTTTAGAGAAGGGGGTGAAAAAACTATTTAGAGCTTGAAACTTGTTTGTTTCCTAACGTGATTA